ATTATAGTAATATCATGGTAATATGATACAGCCTGCTCCTGACTCCCTTCCTCTTGCTAAACTTCATTATCTTTCTTAGACTAGCGAGGCATATGCCATTCCTGATCCGATGTCAGCCTCTAATCTTCACGTCCTCCCTCATTCAGTTCCACGTGAGGCATTATGCGTCTGTTACTCATGGGAAAGCCAGAGGAAGTGCAACAGGGTGTATGTGTTTGTTTGACCGTTTTAAATGGGCCAAATTAAATCCTACCCTCACTTCCCGAATGCGGATTACTCAGTTGTCTCTGTGGAGCCATGGATAAGATCACTGCCAGTCCTGATAATGTGATTGTCCCATCCAGAATAGTCTCTGGTTGAAGATCCTCCCACCCCCCAACACTGACTGACCCTAACGAAGTCAATGTCTTCTTTTTACATTTAAACAGCGGCAATAAATAATAATGTTTGACTTCGGGGGGGAAAGCGGGAAACAGGGTATCTTATATATAACCATTGTTCGAAGTTGTTATAAGTTGTTTGCATTGAAAGAAATTTACAATTTAACCTCCCAGCTGACACAACAATAGCATTCATCTGTATTCATTGAGAACCTTTTTGCTGTGAAAAAGTGCTGACCATTACACACCATGCCACCTCACAGCGAGAACGCTATAGGGTCAGTTAAAGCCTCTCTGTGAGGAGTTTGCATGTTCTCTGTGTGCCGTGTGAGTTTTCCCTGAGCGCTCCACAGTTCAATGACATGTATGGTAGGTAATCGATAATTCTAAATTGGTCACTGGTGTGAGTGTTACCAGGCATGGTTGTATGTCTTTCTGTGTTAGCCCCAAACTTGTGACTTGTCCAAGAAGTGCCCAGCCTCGAGCCAAATGTCAGCTAGGATAGGCTAGTCCCCTCGTGATCCTCTAGAGAATAAGGTGGGTACAGCTAATGGATGGGTGGATGTATTCATTTCTTTCCACCTGATGAATCTAAATCTAATCACTCCCTTTTAGCTAGGTTCTTAGTCTTAGTAATTTTGGAAATCTGACTTTTTGGCTTCTAAATGCTCAGTTATGTTTACCTGCACCTCTCTGTCTGTCTGGTGTTGAGAAGGTCATGTACAGTATCCTGAAAGAAAGCTGCCTGGTTAGGATGTAAACAGGGTTGATGAGAACGATAAGAGTGTACCAAAAAAGTGAAAATGTAAAACATAAAGAAAAAGAAAAAAAAGAAAGAGCTAAAAGAGGCTAAAACGCTTTGGGAGTAGTGGAGCACTGCAGAGTTGGGTTAAAAAAACTTCAATTGGTTTATGATCCCTTTCAAAATACACACAGTCATTTCAGTCATTAATAATGTAGAAATATTGATTGTTGCACCTTTCAGATACTGATTTAAGCTCTAAGTTTCAAGACACTTCTGATCAAAATTGTCTATTTAGCCAGTAACATATACCCGGTGAACGGAGCTCAAAAGTATGATGAAACTCCTATTGTGAACTCCAATAAAATAAAAATATGAAAGCTCAAGGCAGTTTAAAGTATCCTACGGTGCCACGTGAGAATGGGTTTGTGGTCAAGAGTCTGTAAGATCTACAGATCCACCAGAGGAAGTGCGTGATGTCTGTTTGGTCATTGTTTAGCCGGTGTTTCCACTACATCTGCCAACTGCCTGACGGAAGTTCAGCGTCATCGTCATGAGAACGAGGAGGGAAAGACCCATACCTCAGCGCATATCCTGCTTTTGTTGGGACAGTTTTAGAAATGTTGATGACTGGATAAATATTTGCTCAAAATTTCCTTCTTTCGTTTTGTAAAAAACAGGAACGCCACACCGCTTAGATGAACTGACACATTAACACAAGAGATGTTTTATGTTGTTTCTAGGTTGTTATTAATCAAGTAAAGCATGTTTAACCTCAAACAAAAGTGACTTATATGTGCACATGTGGACAAAATTGTTGGTGCCCTTCCATTAAAGAAAGAAAACCTCACAATGGTCACTGAAAATAACTTGAAACTGACAGAAGATGTAATTAATTTAAAAAAAAAATACTGAAAATTAACTTATGAAAATCAGACATTGCTTTTGAGTTGTGGTTCAACAGAATCATTTTTTTTAAACTAATGAAACTGGCCTACACAAAAATGATGGTATCCCTAGGGAATATTGAAAATAGTTTTATCATAGGGACATTTTAAACTACGATTTGTCCTGTAATTAGCATCACGAGCGTCTTTAAACTTGTTATCAGTCTGTCTGCCTATTTGAACGGTGAAACGTAGTAACTGTACTGTTTAGCATCATGGTGGATACCACACTGAACATGAACCACAGAAAGCCAAGGAGACAGTTGTCTAAGGAGATTAGAAAGAAAATTATAGACAAGCATGTTAAAGGTAAAGGTTATAAGACCATCTACAAGCAGCTTGATGTTCCTGTGACTACAGTTGCACATACTCAGAAGTTTAAGGTCCATGAGACTGTAATCAACCTGCCTGGACATGAGGGCAAGAGGAAAACACCTGACACCCAAAAGACTGCAGATGAAAATTAGCTAAAAGCTAACTCTGGTGCAATACATCAAATGGCAACATGTATGTTTAACATACCACAGATGGTCCCTTTTTAAACAAACTGATTAAAAGAGTAAGGCTAAAAGCAACAGATCACTTTCCTAGCTTTTTCCTGCTGTCTTGATTGACCTGCACATTCTCTGTTTTTACAGTCACACCAAGCAAGTTCCAGCCCTCTGTGTTCAGGCCTGGGTTACCTGAAGCACATCTGCCAACTCCTAGAGAAGATCAGCCAGTTACAGAAAACCAACCTCCAGCTGCAGAGGAACATTTGCAGTCTGCAGAAGGACAACAGAATGGCAAAGACCAAAGAGGTGTGTGACTGTTTCTTACTTTTTTTTCTTTTTCTTTTTCAGTCTGCAGCTCTGTTGTAAGCAAGCAGGAGTGCTGCCATCTTGTTGGTTGCACCTTGTTATCTGTGCTTATCTCAGCTTGGTACTGAGACTTCACAGCTGTAACAGAGCCTATCCCACAAACTGGGTTGTGTATTTTTTTTAAAGTGTGACTTTATCAGGCTGTGAGAGGAAACAAGGCTTTGTGCTTGTATTCTGTGAAATGCAGGACGTTTTGAAGCATGCGCCATGTTAAGTGTAGCAAAATAGAAAAATAGTGTAACTTGTGTAGTCTCACACGGGAGCATCGAACTCAAGCTCATACACTGACTTTAGATGCTTCTCCTCAGAAGTTCATCTAAACCATTAGGTAGCAGGTTGTCTGTTAAACTTGCCACGTAAATACAAGGAGTAATGTGTATTAATTGGTATCATGTACAAATGGGAAATAAAGAACATTGTAACACTACGTTCTTGTCTTCCTGCCTACTTTCTTTTTTCAGGACTTTTTTCAGCAGCACTGCAGCTGTGGTGCAGCCAGTTTAGCCTTCCAGGACTTTCAGAAAAGACACTCTAAAAGTGAGTGTTTGGCATCTAGTGGAACCCTCTCTGACCTGTCCACCATCCCAGAGGTCACTACGCATCCACTCATGTCAGCTAAGAGAGGTAATGACAATGCAGATTTACACACTGTACAGACCTGTTGGCTGTGAGTCTATGATAAACAGCTGACAGAGCTCCAGACTGCGACCAAAATGGTTGCATGTACGACCTTTTTTTGAGAGCATGCTAAAGACTACCGACATATTAAACAGGTGGTCATAATCTTGTGGTTTGTCAGTGTACATGCGTAGTTTACTCTTTTAGGAGCCCAGTGGGGTCGTTGAAGCAGTCAGGTGGCCTCGTAAATCGCTGAAAAAGAAGGCCAAAAAGGAGCACACCAATATTCATTTGATTCCTGTTTATTCAAGCAACCTCTACCATGCACACACTGTAGCTGTTCACTGTCTTTGATTTGTGTTTTAGGCATGAGCATTGAGGGTTTGACACCCATCCCGCTGTGGAGGAGAAACCTGAACCGTAGGAGTTACACTGAGGAAGAGGTCCGATTCTTCGGGGACAGCACCGAAAGACTGTCCATCCCACAGCCCAGGGTGAATTATCAGTTCACTGCAAGTAGCACAGTCAGTGGAGTCTTGGTATTGTTAAAGAAATTACTTATTCACACAATGACATATGAGGCAAAGTTTCACCTCATTCGTTTCGAGACAGTGTCTAAATACTGTACATTTGGTATTCTGTAAATCAGTTACAACAAAAGAAGAAAACATGCTTCACTTTCTGTCTGCTTCACTTTTTCTCATTCTTTTCTGTCTCTGCCTTCAGCTGAGTGAAAACTACACACCCAGCCGCATCAAAGATCTGACGAGGAAAACTAAGTGGAGGAATCAGGGCAGGCTAGATCTTACCTCCGCTTCGCTGAAGATGTCCTGCCCACAACTCTACAGGTGAGGAATTCACTGCAGCAGGGGTGTCAAACTGCGGTCCTCGAGGGCCACATTCCTGCATGTTTTAGATGTTTCCCTCTTCCAACACACCTGATTCAAATGATCAGCTCATCATCAAGCTCTGCAGAAGTCTGATAACGATTCTGATCATTTGAATCTAAAACATCTAAAACATGCAGGATTGCGGCCCTCGAGGACCGGATGTCGACACCCCTGCACTACAGCCTACATTTTGAGCTGTGTGTTCTCTATAAACTGGAGAAGACACTCAAAGCTTTCACTCTCGCTGTCTCCTGAAGGAGCCACTGTGTCTATGTGCGCCACCTCTCTATGGAAACCCATAGAGATTCATTATATATATATATATTCAGACCGTTTATGTCCTAAATGGCATGCCATATATATATGTGTGTGTGTATATATTTCTTGCAGCATGTTAAGAGCTTTAAATAATGGCATTTTTGTCACTTAAAAATGCAAGTTTTACCATCTCTGTTTTTACACCACATCCCTCAGATTAGTCTCATCTGATTCACTTCTCACTAACAGAGATGGTCGTGCTGATTCTGGATCTAATTACTTGTACTGTATGTTTACTGTAGACTACACTGTTGGAACAGCAGTTAAGCTAAAAAACTTAACATCTCAGGAGGCTTGTTTACTATGCAACAGACAGAAAGGAAGCAAAATATCAATAATGGATCAAATAATCATTCAAACTGCTTTTTTTTTTTATTCCCACAACAAAAGAAAATGAAAATGAAAATGTTTCTCATATTTTAGCAATTTCACGGTACATAGAAAGATTCATTCTATCTGCACTTTCTTTCGGATTTGTTAGGGTTAGAAATATAAAAGATAAAAACAAACACCAAGCTTTTAATGTCCTGTGCATTTGGGGTGATGTCTTATCTCTTCAGAATTGAAATGACAACAGCTTAAAACCACCGGAAAAAGAGTTGCTTCTTACCCTTGTTTGTTGAAGAAGCCTTAAAAGAACAGAAGAAATGCAAGTTATCTACTTGTTGTGAATTAAAGCTCGCATGAGGGTGGAAAGGCATTTTTGGGAGGAAGAGTGATGACAGTTTCAGGGACTTTTGGGCCAGAAGCAGAGAGTGACAGGTTCCTAGCGTAGGGAGATGAAAGAAAGCTATTAGCTGCACTTTTGCCAGTCAGAGAAGGTGTCTGGAGAAACAGTGGCTTTTCCTCATTTGAGAGCTTGTACAGTGTAGGAATCTAATGGGAGGTGGAACACTGCTAGTTCTACAGCCTCTCCCTCTGTGCTGACTGGAGCTTGGCACCGGCCCAGATGGACAGAGGAAGGGCTTGGAGAGTAAGATCTGAGGTATGCATGTAGGAGTAGGAGAATTCACCCGTGGATTTAAACTGAGGCCTGGTGAGATATGGCTGCAATCCAGGAGTCATTACAAAGAACACCATCCTCCTGCTGAGCCATGCACGCTAGCCCAGCTGAGCAGCTGTGATCCAGAGAGAAGAAGTGTCCTAGATATTCACCATAAATACAGTAAAAAAGCCAGGGGCTCTCAGTACTAACTGTCTCCTCTTCTCTACAGGCCTGATCTAGGACCAGTAAAACCTGCTGGCAAAAACAGGAACTCCATGATTGCCTTGGGCCACCATAGCAAATTGGACTTTCCTTGGCTTCAGTAAACATCCAGGTAGTGTATACAACTTTTTATCTTTCCTCACCAGTGCCATGCTTAAAGGCCAGTATACTCATTAGCCATCACATTCTGATGAAAAGGATAATGCATGTTGTCTTGTAATAGTGGTGCATTTTCAAGGTCTGGAACATATTAAACAATAAGCAAAAAAAAAAAAAGCAGTTCTTGTGGTCACTGTGGTGGATGTGGGAGAGATGGGCGAATGTAAAGAAAGCTTGTTGGGTATTTCAGGTTTGCTGGGGTAAGTATGTACTCAGTGCTGTTCAAGGATGGACAAACCATGAAATGATGACATGTTGTTGGAGGATGTGCTGCAACAAGTCTTTTCTTTGGTGGCTCCAACCCTGGATCAACAATCTGCTGTTAATATCCTGATGGCAGATACCACAGGTCACCCTCTGAGGTCCGACAGAATCCGTTCCACAAGGCAGACATAGTCATGATGTTTGGGTTGATCAGTACTAAGACCATGCTACTTGATTACATTTTACTGTGAAACAATTCACTGTCCGTATATCTGTGACTTCTTGACAGAGGTGACAAAATGACACTTTTCTTAATGCTGACCACCATCTTTGTCTCTTGGCCAGATCCGATTCAGATGGTCTCATATTAGGAAGAGGACACGATGAAGTTAGACGCACATGATACAAGACTGGAAATGAAGAAAAGAAGGAAATGGAGAGAACAAAGAAGACCAAAGAAACTGAAGGAGTTAAAAAAAAAAAAAGAGGATTCTAGTATAATGGATGCTGTTGCTACACATACAGAAGAATAAGTGGGTTTATATCAAGACTTATTCACTGTAAAATATAGGATGTCATGAATTTAAGAAGATTACTATTACACTGTGACATAGGTGAACTGCTTTAAACATTCTCTGTTGACAGTATTTACTCTTATCTACTGTAGGTTTTCATTAAGATGCTGCAAACTGTCTTGTGAAACAAATCCATATTTCATATAACTTTTTATATGGCAGGATGTTGTAAATATGTTCTAGACAAATGGCAGATTTATACAATTTGTGTATGTAGAATTGTGTAACACAGGTACATGACAGACTGTGCATAAGGAATGTGGGACCCCTACGGAGGTCCAATGTCTATGGCTTATACATGATGTTAACATATGACCTACGGATAAATTGTCCGATTAAAAAAAAAAAATGCTGCTTTTATTTTACGAGGTGTGTCAGAAAAGTTCCAGGTGTCACAAAAGATATATTTCAAACCCAAACTTCAAACTAGGACGTTTCCTCTTCAGATGATCAACCAGCAGGTCCATAAAGAGATCCTGCAGTGTTTGCTTAGTTCAATGTGTGAGAAGAGGCGAAAGTTGTGGCAGGACAAGTCATGGCTGCTTCACCATGACAACGTGCCAGCTCCAATGAGCTGAGCATCCGACAGTTCCTGGCTGAGAAGAACATCGCTGTGCTGGAGCAACCTCCCTACTCACCCCACCTGGATCAGTGGGATTGTTTGCTCTTCCCCAAGCTCAAGGGGGTCATCAAGGAGACCTGTTCTGAAGACGTGAATGACATCAAGATGTCTGTGATGATGGAGCTGAAGAGGATCCCGGAAGAATCCTTCCAGGAGTGCATGGCGGCGTGGCAGAGAAGGCTGGGCAAGTGTGTTAGACTCCAAGAGGATTACTTTGAAGGGGAAAACTTGAAGTTTGTAGTTTGGATTTGAAATATATCTTTTGTGACACCAGTCCTGAAACTTTTCTGACACACCTCGTATGTACAATTTCAAATGCCTTAACACAACAGATGGAAGTCTCCTCCATAAAACAGCAACTGGCCTGAACACTGACCTTTTTCATTTTCAGCCCATAAACCCTGATGACAGGATGTTGCAGAGAAACATAACTATCTTGAATTATATACTATTGAATTTTAGTAACTGAAAAGAACAGGCTGAGGGCATGTACAACTATTTAGATAATTTCTTATTGGATGCAGTTCAAAAAACTTCTTAAAAGCTTAAGTTGTCTCAAACTCCCGTTTAAAACTTGAATCAAAGCTTCTAACCTTTTTTTAAACTAGTTAATTATCCAACAAAGATGGCCAGATGTGTGGAGGTGCTTCCATCAGGCTTGGTTTGAACATTTCTCTTTTAATTCTCCATACATCAGTTCAATCACTTTTCATGGAATACAACACCAGACATTCTTTTAAGGAAAGACTGTCTGTGTGTTTGTGTTGTTAGCTTCATTCAGTAATTAAGCACATCGAGACTGAAAAGAGGCTAAGATAAACAACTATGATTAGCCTTTAACTCTGGCCTTTATGTCTTCAATTTTACACGTATTCAGTAGATTTGATGGGACATGAGTTGTTCTAACTTTGAGCAAGAACACAAGAAGATTCCAAGAAATAAATGTCACAACACACAAACACCACAACATTGCATCACACTTCCAGTTAAGGCTGATATACTTAAGTAATTATTTTTTGTGTATTATATTATCTAGAAATACTTTAGAATATGCTATAATTTGCTTCAAAGTGGTAAAAACAAAATATTTACTATGTACTTTGCTATAGTGTACACCTTATAGGTTGGACTAGTCTGTTAAAAAAAAGGGATGTTGAATGTTTGCGTGTGTTTTATAGCTGATGTTATGTGGAGGATGTTAGACAACTGTACATATTGCAGTATGTTGCTATATGCATATTGCATCAAAATATTTAAATGAATTTTTCATAATAAAGTCAAATTAAAAAATATATATTTTGTATATATTTTTACCTACAGCACTGACTTGGATCTGCTGGTATATAAAGTAATAACACAATGGCCTAAATAATTAGAATTAACCATAAATTACAAATTTTCATATTACCCTTTTTTGCCATATATATATATATATACTGTCATGTCCATAAATATTTGGACATCAGAATTTTCAGCATTTCGGCCCTGTACACCACCATAATGGATTTAAAATGAAACAATAAAGATGTGCCTTGAGTGCAAACTTTCACCTTTAATTTGAGGGGTATTTATATCCAAATCAGGTGAACGGTGTAGGAACTACAACACATTTTATGCATTCTCTCGACCTTTTCAAGAGACCAGTAAATTAAGAAGTTAACATTCAAGCTAACAAGGACGTTAATAAATACATATGAAAGTTAAATAAGTAAGTTACTGGCTAAACAAGGAAGTTGACGAGTATGTTAACGTGTAAACGAGCAAGTTCATGAGTAAGCAGAGGTCAAAAACACTACCCCAACAATCTCTTTGAACTCGTCTGTCATCTGTGGGACACAATGCCTTGGCCTTGGCACAGACATGATCATAAAGGGACTTGTCACAACCAAGAAAACCCCAAAGAGAAGCACTTATGAATACAATAATCATAAGTGCCTTCTTTGAGGTGGTCTGAGAGTGACTGACATTCAGATATATCCAAAATTGACAAAGTTGCTTGGGTCAATTGAAACTACCTCAACAAGTAGCACTTACTCAGTGCAACAATCAAGTCAGTGCTCAAGATAAAGGTAATAGAAATGACTTACAAATGTGTTCAACAAACATCCTCTACAATGATGATTTGGTGAACTTAGACGCTGGTGAGTCTACGAAAGCACTTCAGGACATGATTTCAAGCAGAGGTCAAAAA